AGATAACTTGCAGAGACAATTCTTGTTCTTACAGTTTCTTCGGCCGACGATTTGAGTTTGAAAGGGATGATGAGATATGGCGCGACAATGTAAACGGCGAAGGGAGTAGCAGTGTCGCGGTTTTGATAGAGGAAGAAGGTTTCAAGGTTTTCCTGATTCTTTTTGTGTTTGTCTTAAAAATATCCCTTCATCAATTGATTTGGGCTTAACTCGTTCCCTTTGTGTTATTACCAGCTAGTCTGCCCCCCCTTGTTTTTTCTAATTTTAGTTTAATTAGAATTTTAAGTTTTTATTTTAACTTAATTATTTTTTTATCAGATTTTAATTTAATTAACTTTTTAATTAGAGTTTAGTTTAACTAGTTTTGATTAGAGTTTAATTAGCTTTTAACTAGATTTTTATTTTAATTAGATTTTAATTTAATTATATTTTATTTAATTCTTAATTTAATCTTTACAATCCTCGATTTTCTTTTTTATTAATTCTTGATGTACATTTTTTGAATTTATCTTCATGATACTAATCTTGTATATTCCCTCATGACCCAATTTTATTTTTATGGTTGATTACTTTCATGTCTTGGGCCTAGTTTTTCTCGATTAATTCATGATGCTTTGTCTTAATTAATTAATGATATCTACTCTTGATGTTTCCATGATCTTGGCACTTGATATGTTTGTTATTTGCTCGTAATAGATTATCTCACTGATGCCTATTTTTGTCTGATATTCATTTGTGGCTTTTGAATCCTTTTGATTGTCTGTTTATGTCCAAGGGAAGAGCTTGTGTATGACTTTATAAGTCATACGCACTGCATTGTCATTTGCATCATTTGCCCCTGCTTGATCCCTGACTCCCTTCAGGTCGATCAACTTAGGATACATCCTCATACCCTTATATCCTTAGGAGAGATTCCCTTAAGTTTTCAACTTAGACTTACAGATTAAGTTCCCTATTTCTCCCACAAGAGAATCAGACATAAGTCATCTATGTAGTCGAGATATAATTCTCCTACTCTATGATATAATCGAGAAATATGTAGAACGTTTTCCGCTTGAGAGAGGTATGTGGCATACTCGTCGATTATAGATCCGGGTTGGAGCCCTTCTCTCAACATAATGCAAAGACCATCTTCCATAAATTTGTGATGGTTAAGTCGAGTATTCTCTTTAAGATGACGACTTGTCTTTTCTCCTAGAATCAATCAACGAACCTTATCCCCCCTAGGACCTTGACCACCATTAAGAGTTCCTCGTCCTTTAGAGGAACTACGAATGCTCTGATTCCATTCCCGTCAGGATACGTAGGCACGAGATGCGACTTCTTGGCGAGCATACTTAGAAGTAAACCCCTAGGTCTCTTACCCTTAGCCAACAACAATAACACAATATAATAAGAGGTTCCTGTAGAGTACTACAGATGCTTAGGATGCTAATACCTTTCCTAGGTATAATCAACCCCCGGACCTTAGATTCTCTAACTTTGCATTGCATTGCATACTCATGGGTTATTTATATATTTTTCCCTTCCCTTGGACAAATTAAAGACCGGTGGTGAAAAATGATTTGTGATTTAAGTTAATCAATAACTTGTTATCCAATTCTCATCGCGACAATATCGAGATAACAAAATAATCATACTTGGAAACACAACTTCAATTGATTTCATTAAAGCAATATCTATATCAGTCAAAATCACTTGTGTTCTATTCCCTTCTTTCCTGGAAAACTATTTTAGCTTATCCAATGCCCAACAAAAGTTCTTTGTCTATTCTGATTACATATAGGCAAATGCAACAACAATTATAGACTCCATCAAAGTCATACCAACAGTTTTAAATAAAAGTTATTAGTACTTGTTTGTCTTATATGTATTGTCCATAATCAATATAGTAGGAAAAATATTCAACAACTTCACTTAATCTGGGAGTGCCCCAAAAATATCTCTCACAACATCTGTGTCATCTCTTCTTATACTCCAGTAAACATAATTTGAATCATCCATCAACTTAAAAAAAAAATTATATCTCAATTTTAGGACCTCTGATGTCTTTTTATAATTTAATCTTATGTTTATATATTTGTGTGATCCGAATAACATTCATTAGATCTCGCTCTTGCAATGAAAGCAGTATGTGTCTAGGTGGAACATGATATTTTCTCAAATCAACAACTTGTTTCCTTTCTTCTAAACTTAGATGGCCAATAAATGGATGGACTTTTAATCTATTAACAAATTGTGGTTGTGAAGTCCATATTTTACATGAACCATCCATCCTGGACAATCTTTAGACAACGTTAATCTGATTTTAAATGTACACCCATATTTTTTTAGTCACATTTTGTGTTGTACTATCAATTTCCTTGTATTTTCCACCTTTTTCATACCATATATTAGTTTGCTACTTCTTAAATTTCTTTTCCCATTTTCGTATCTGAACGAGTAATAATAAGCGTTACTTTATTTTGGATCTCACCTCGTTAATCCATCTTATCATTTTTTCTCGTGTATCAAATTTTCATGCATTTGAAAATACTTATGTAGTATCAACTCATATCTACTTTTTGTGGATCTCAATAATTATGAAAATAAAAAAGTCAAAAAAAAATGTGTATAGATAACTTATTGGTGAGTTATCCAGTGAACAAACTGATGATTACTATAATACTTATAAACAAATTATATACTGAACAAACTGATGACTGATGAAATACTTGTAAACAATTCATCCGATGAAAATTATAATTTCGAATAATTGTTTATGAGTATTTTGGTGCTTATAAGAAAATTTGCTTACAAGTTATCCGGTAAAGAAAAATTACGTACCGAAATACCTTGGGCAAAGTTATCCGGTACACAATGATTGAGGTGGAAAATTCTTCAATTTCTGAAAAGATAATTATGATGGTAAAAATTAAATAGTAAAATCATTTGAAAAGTAAAAAAAGTAGAATTGTTAGGACACTCCTAAAATTTAACCTAACACCCCGAAAAAATTTTCTAATATAAAAAATAACCCTTTAAAAAAATCTCGTGCAAAAAATCAGGTAGGCCAATAAAAAATCTGATATGCAATAATAAAAACTAGTTGGCTAAGTAATAAAATTCGATAAGCTTTTTTGCCAGTTTTTTCAAAAAAAAAATTTGTGCGTGTAAAAATTTACCGACCTTTTTTCAAAAGTACTAAAGATTACTAGATTTTTTCCATAACTCTGGAAAAAAAAGGTAGTGTGAGTTTATCGATATTTTCAAAAACGGTTAAGATTACCAGTTATTTTTAAAATGCAAGTGATTAACATATTTTTTGCATGCCTTTGAAAAAACTGGTAGTGTCAATTTTCAACGGTTGAGATTTTACTGACACTTTTGTAGGTTGTGATTTCACAAACAATTTTATGTGATTCATAATGATTCAAAACTTATACAAATATGTCTCGTATGTTGTTAACAAAACATCTCAGAGTGTCTCAATATTGGTATCTCGCATTTGTGTACTTCAACGACATGAAACCTCCAGTTAATTTTAGGCTCATAAAAGACACTCCTCTTAATGTTCTGAAATCCAAACTGGATAATCTTGTGTGTCGTACCAATAATAAAAAGATTGTTAAGATCGAGTGTCATTCATAATCAATAGATAATGAATGAAAGATTAAGTTCAATAAGTTTGAGTTGAATGTGTGGCACATATAACTGATACAAAACAAATGATCTAATCGAGTTGGATGTGACAATTGCCAGATCTATTGACGATATTATCAAGATGTTAAAATATCCTAAATCATCTATTATCATTTAAGTTTTGTTCATGCTATTTTCTTTGTAAGTTACATTAAAAATATTTGTGTTAAGTAATGTAATGTTAATTTTCATCTAATGAAATGTTAAGATAAAATGTCAATAACATACAAAGAATGTTAGCAACATCAAAAATTAAACAAATTAATAAAATCTACTTAGAACATCCACATCCATCATACTCATTTGAGTTCTTTAAATGGGACACATTCAATTTTTTATATTATATTACACTCTTATATTTTTAAAACAACTCAACTACATTTTTCAAATATCCATACAACTCATTAAAAATTCTAAAATAGGCCTCACAATATACCACATATTTATTATTATTTGTTTTATTTGTTGTCATTTTTATTAATTTATTATCAATTGGCCCACTTAATATAGTGTAGAAACGTTCTCACATTTGAGATCGCTTGCAAATGTAGAAATAGATTTTTTGGTCAATTATCCATCTATTCTGATGATAATCATGTTCTTAGGCCTATCATAACATGTAAATCCTCCCCGTCATTTGCTCATGCGAGAGCTCTTTGCAGCTGCTCTCTCAGCTATGTCATTATGTCTAGAAGAAATTGTGTCATATCTTCCTCTAGTTCTCACTACAGTTAAAAAAAATAAAAATATATAAACTATCAAGTTTTTTAAAAATTCAAAAATTAACTTGATTATCAAAATTTCTTTAAAATGTAGTAAAAAATGCAAATATTTCGAAAATTCTGACATTAATAATACATGTAAAATATGGAATTTTACCAGACATTTCGAAAATGTCAATAAAATACATAGATTTTAAAAAAAATGCAGTATAAATTTTATATTGGCGGTAAAAAACATAATTTGAAGAACAATATGACTTACTTGTAAATATCCGATAGAAGACTAAAAAAATTCGATAAATAGATCAACTTTTGTAAAATGTTCAAAATATGACAAATAACATGTGAAAAACGTGTATTTATGGGTTGTGGTTAAATAGAACTGGTGCCATAACAAATTCTCTTGGATGGGATAAGCAATGGCCCAAATTTTCATTTAAGAAGAGTCCAGCCCAATAGAATACTATAAAATGTTTAAAAAATTACTTGGCACCACCTTGGAATTTTCTGGAAGGATTCCTAATAGGAGAAATTACACATTCTTCCTCTCTTATTATTCTATTGCTCATCTTATGCCCATACCACATAGTATCAGCAATGGCTTTCTATGCAAGATTAACAATATCCAGCGCTTTCATTTCCACCTTCTCTTCACCCTTCTTCCACAGAAAACTTCTCCAATATAGCAGATTCTCTACGTCACTGTTCTTCTCTCTCACATCCACACCCATTTCCACAAACCCTTCTCATTCTCCCAACTTCAATTCCATTCAACGCCATTTCACCTCCTCCAAGAAAAACATAGACACTAAACTCAATTTTTCTCTCTCCGATTCCGATTCCGACGATGAAAGCACCACATTAACTAAAACCACCACCCCCACCATCGACAAGAGTAGAAAACTACCACCACCTTATGACCCATTCAGCAAGAAGCCAGCAATAGAAGAACCCAAAGACCCAAAAGACTTACAAGAGATTTTCCACAAAATGAGAAGCGGTGACGGGTTATTGAACCATGCAGTCAAGATGTTCGACGCTTTGTCCAAACAGGGTTTAACACACGAAGCGTTAGAGCTTTTCGGTCAGATCAAAGATAAAGGCCAAATGCCAGACGTGGTGGCCCACACGGCCATAATCGAGGCTTATGCCAATGCTGGTCAACCAAAAGAGACTCATAAGGCTTACATGCGAATGCTTGCTTCTGGGGTTTTTCCTAATGCTTATACCTACGCTGTTCTCATCAGAGGACTTGCGGTTAATGGTAAGTTTTTGAAGGATGCGAAAAAGTATGTTGTGGAAATGTTTGAGAAAGGTATGAGACCCAATGCTGAGACGTATGCTGCCGTGTTTGAGGGGTTGGTTAGGGAGGAGAAGGTGGATGAGGCTGTGCAGTTGCTGGAGGAAATGAAGCCTAAGGGGTTTGTTCCTGATGAGAAGGCTGTAAAGGAGGTTCTCAGCAACAAAAGAGGACCTGTTTTTAGAACTGTCATAAACATTCTCTTTGGAAAATAGCTACTGAAATGTCTGTGATTCTGTGTTTGTGTGACTGGTTTGGAACATTTAATTTTGGGGTGGCAAAAAATATACGCACATTTATTGTTTCATGATCAGTAATATCATTCTCACTATAATCTACAATTATGTTTGATGAATTTATCGTAATCAATTCTTGTTGTTATTTAATTTTAAAATACAACACCAACCAAACCTTATATCAATAAGAGAAATCATTATGCTTAATCCATCATATATATATATATATATATATATATATATATATATATATATATATATATATATATATATATATATATATATATATATATATATATATATATATATATATATATATATATATATATATATATATATATATATATATATATATATATATATATATATATATATATATATATATATATATATATATATATATATATATATATATATATATATATATATATATATATATATATATATATATATATATATATATATATATATATATATATATATATATATATATATATATATATATATATATATATATATATATATATATATATATATATATATATATATATATATATATATATATATATATATATATATATATATATATATATATATATATATATATATATATATATATATATATATATATATATATATATATATATATATATATATATATATATATATATATATATATATATATATATATATATATATATATATATATATATATATATATATATATATATATATATATATATATATATATATATATATATATATATATATATATATATATATATATATATATATATATATATATATATATATATATATATAGATTGAATAGTCGATAAAATAAAATTATAAGAGAGAAATGCTAATATGAGCCATTATAGCATTTGTTGGTGTATATAAAAATGTAAAATTTTGTATTGATAATTAGGGTCTCAAACATAAGTTACCATGATTAAAACATAATTACTATTTTCAAAATATAATTACTATTTTTAAAACCCTTTAAACATAAGTTACCATGATTAAAGAAATACTAATATGTGGTGTTTTAAAATTGTCATATGTCATGTTACTATTATTCATATGTTGTCTTACGGTGACATTTAAGGTCGGCTCAATCATTCAAGGTCGGCCCAATCAATCCGGAAGTCCTGTTATGATTTTAAAAAATAGGTCTAAAAATGTTAATTTATATCAAAAAAAAATTTTAAAAAACTTAATAAAAATATATAGATTTCAAAAATAACTTATTATTTTACACCACTTTTTAAGAAATAGGTGTGGAATAGACTTTAAAAACAAACTATATTTTACACCTGTTGTTGTTGAAAAAGTAAGTGAATGTATTTTTTAAGAAATTAAAAAAAAAATGGACCCTCCAAAATTTGAGGCCCAATACTGTAGCACAGGCTGCACCTGCATTGGGCCGACCTTGGTGACATAACTTAGAGGGTGTATCTCAAACCTCCTTGAGATTTACCCACTCGACCATGCTGTTTATAGTAGATCCTAATATCATATAAAATTTGAAAAGAGAGATCACAATCATTACATTATTTGTGTACATCGATGCGTTAGTTTGTAGATCTACCATAATTTTAGTTGGTTTGTCATATGAATACTTCCTACCACGAGAAGATAGTGTAAAATTTGGAAGGAATGAAATCTTGTACCTCTTACAATAGTTTGTGTAACCACAGAATTAACATAACTAGTTGGTTGTCGTTGTGCTATCACCATTTCTGACGTCGTAGTCGAAACTAACGTCTGACTCACGACAAGAGCAGTTCCTCCAATGATTGTTGAAGTGCTTGCACCACCAACTATCTGATTGGCTGTTTTTCTGCATTTGAAGCTTTGTTTTAGGGAGGAGGAATCCATTTAGGGAATGAATTTCCTAATGGCGCTAGACATACTGACAAATTTGTCACTCCTCATGTACATAAACACTCAACAATTGACAACATTTATATATGAAGAACGAAAACAAACATAAAACCACATACATTCTCTGCAAAAAAAAATTAATTTTCACGCAAAGGAGTTCCACTAGTGTGCAAATTTGTTTACTAATATTTTTAGTAAACAATCAAAAACTTAACTCACTTGCAGGATCAAACTCGAAAAATCCTAAAAAACAATTTGTATTAAACGTTTGACAAAATTGTATTAGTGTTAAAAAAGTTTAATGTAAAAATTCATAAAAATGTGCTTAAATGATTAAAGTAAATAAAGAACTAAATAATTAGATTAAAAAATGCTTGAATTTAAAGTGGAAAGCGAGTTCATACATTTTTCACAATTTTTTTATCTCTATTACTCGAATGTGTGAATTTTAAAGAAAATAAAATAAAGTGCAAACCTCCATTACAAAATCAAAATTTACTTATATATTAAATACATCGATAACTGTCAACAACGATTATCTCCAAAATTCAACACATTCTTTTATTTGAACTTTTGTCTTCTAATATATTTCCACGATTATCACCAAAATTCAATTCTTTTATGTGAACTTTTTGTCTTCTGATATATTTCCACAATTATCTCCAAAATTCAATACATATCCTTCTATGTAAGCTTTTGTCCACGTATCTTTAATTCTTGACCGCTTCAAATTATTATTGTTGTAAAAAACGTCTTCATGATACCTACTAGGTCAAATTTGTAAGAAGTCTACTTAATGTCGAATACATAACTTATCCATCCACATTTAACATCCATATATCTCCCATCTCCCATATTCATGTCAAAATACTGAGCAGAAAATCTCAGACTAAGACATATCCTCTTAGAGTATAATTTAATATGTTTCATTAAAAATATGCCATAAGAATAAGGTAGGTAAAATGAAATCTATAGTTGCTTGATTTTAAAATGGTTTTTAGTCATGGGAAATTCAATATTATCAAACCGATAATGTAAAAATAGTATAAGAAAATAGGACAACCTATGAATCTATGATGCCTATCTTGAATATAATATAAGACCACATTCACAAAGGCACTCATATAGTATTTGTATGCTTTGAAAATAAACACATGGCTCATGTAGATAGTAATAATAATAAGGCATTTATATAAAACTACTCCTGTCTTTTTGGAAATGTGGGGGTTCTAGCCGATGATAAACATGGCAGATATACAGACAAGTTGGCATCATACAGTTCACGTACTGGCAGAATATCACTGCCGCAATGCAACTGGTCAATCAATTATACAGCAATGAGAAACAAAGGAAAGAAAAAAAAGCCAAGATCAAATGCGGAAACTTCTATGGGGAATGGATATAACCAAATAGGAAAGATGTTCTAAAAGCAGCTTTGATTCTGTAAATCTTTCCGAAAGTTTATTCAATTTCTTGAACAATTTGGGCCATCACCAATGGCAGCTCCATTCTAGTACAAGGTGACGCCATATTGAATGTGTTCCAACTAATATAAGTCTTGTTGATTGGGACACTCTGACGCCCGATGCCCTAATTGTCCGCAATTAAAACAGGAACCTCTGCAATGCACATTCAGACGCCATAAGTTATTCGTACACCCCAAGTATAAAAGCAAACAGATTTTTAAAAAAATTATCAAACAAGAGCAAAACAGTTACTTATAACTTATGTCCTGTTACCTGTTTATCGATGAAGATCTGTTTGGCGATGAAGACCTGTTTGTTGACGAATATCCACTTGACCGTCTACCTCCACTTAAAAAGTCATTCCCACCTGATCGTCTACCTCCACTTAAAAAGTCATTCCCACCTGATCGTCTACCTCCACTTGACCAGTCATCCCCACCTGATCGTCTACCTCCACTTGACCAGTCATCCCCACTTGATCGTCTGCCTCCACTTGACCAGTCATCCCCACTTGATCGTCTGCCTCCACTTGACCAGTCATCCCCACCAGTTCTATAACTTCTCTGATCCCTAGAACCTCTCGGGAAACTTCTATCTCTATCAAGTGTATCAACACCTTGCCTGGTAGAAAATTCTGGTAAATCTTGCATAGGTGGTGGACTAATAAATTCAAACCTGGAGCCTATGTCACGCTCAAAGGACATAACAGTTCTTCTCTGGGCATCGGTGTACATTACTACAGCAGCACCCTCTTTTCCAGCACGTCCAGTACGACCAGAGCGGTGAACAAAAGTCTCGGGACCATCGGGAAGTTCATAATGTATAATCTGAAGAGAAAAAAACAATGAAATGCCAACAAAGTTTTCAATATGTTGAGTTGAGACTATAGAGCAGTTCAAGCACTGAGAAATATTTAAACCAGGAAAGTTTACACAAACACATCTTATGAAATATTTATAATTGGCAAGACAGATAAACTAACTCATAGTGACAAAGATTGGGTAATAAGGTCAGACTCACGAGTAGAAACACCAAATATCTCCTTATATCAAGATAAACAATCCAAATTTCATACAACAGACAACCCAAATTAAGAGTTGAGATATCATTATCCACAATAAGCATACATTCTTAATCTAACCTTAGAGATAATAATATCTCAAAGACCAAATTTGTATACACTAAATTTTCAATAAATGAGTTAAAACCAAAATCTTAAATTTAAAGCCCTAAATTCCAATTTCCAAATAACAATAATCTACATGGCTGGGCTTATTACTAAGCCTTCAGTTGGCATCATATATTAAAATGCATGGTAAAAATTTTAAAATCTGCTAGAATTTGAGAAGTTTTTCGTAGAACGGAGACTGGTGCTGAGAAGTTTGGACATGGAGTAAAAAACATCACTTTGAACTTACCAAATCAACATTGGGAATATCTAGTCCGCGAGAAGCAACGTCAGTAGCAACAAGCACTGAGAATCTCCCTTGCCGAAAACCATTCAATGTTTTCTCTCTCTGATACTGAGAGATATCTCCATGCAGTGCTTTAGAGGCTATACTATTTGATAATGACCGTGATATTTCATCGGCATCCCTTTTTGTCCGTGTGAAAACAATAGTCTTCCCACCCTTTCCATAAGCCTAAAAGACATGATAAAATGCAACAGAATTAATGAACTTCCTTCTCTAGTATTCAAGAGTAACTTGAAGGCATTTCGAAACATATAACTAACAGATTAAATGTGTGTGCGTGCGTGTGTGAATCTTGCAACAGAAAAATGAGTCTTGGAGAATAGACAGCCTTTAGTTTGTGTCAGGTAATCAATATGAACTACTCAACATCACAATGGTGATAAAAACTAGATCAACGTGCATGCCTGCCAAACCATAGAGTTTCTTTAAACAGTTGGTAACCTGCTTCTGAACAATTTTTATTGTATTCTTTCAAATAGTGTTGGATTTTACTCACCACACCCACTAAACAAAACCACGGAGAAGCCAACTGTAGGCAAACAACAAGCTAATCCTTTGAAAATAACAACAAACTTACATTTATAAGACCATAAAGAATTCTCCGCTTTGATGATACAGTGGCTGATACAGCATAAAGTTTGATCCCCTCAGCAAGCTTTTCTTCACTATCACCGACCTTGTTAAAAAGAAAAGTGAAAGCCATCATAACCATTTTGTGGGGATTAAAACACATCATAATTACAATAACTTAAAAGATTAGTAAGCACAACTCCTGCTGCTTGACAAATAATTAAAGGAAAATGCAAATCAGAAGATATTGATTCGAAAGTGATACAAGCTATTCCTGTATACAAACTACAAATATACACTCAATTATACTTCATTCATGTATATTTGGAGAGAAAAATATGTTAAAAAGTAACAGCAGTTTTACCAAATCAATAGTCAATGGATTGCTCAAATGTTTTCTTGACAACTTCTTGACCCAACCCGGCATGGTTGCAGAGAAAAGCATGATCTGCCGCTTAGACGGGATATTTTCTAAAATCAATTCCACATCCTCCTCAAACCCAACAGCAAGCATCTGATCGGCTTCATCAAGTACCAAATACTGAATGTCACTAAGTTTAAGGGTTTTCCCATTTATCAAGTCAATTAGTCTTCCAGGTGTTCCAACAACAACATCAACACCACGCGAAAGCGCATTCCTCTGAATATCATAAGAAACGCCACCATAAACACAAACTGTGTTTAGATAAGGTGCAGATTCTTGTATCTCCTTCTCTACTTGCTTTGCTAACTCCCTAGTTGGTGCAAGAACCAGTACTTTAGGAAACCGCCCAGATCGCCTGATATAAAAAAAAGAAAAAAAAGTGGAAATGTCTCAATACACATAACACAAGTTAATAATTAATAAATAGGTTTTATGAATTATGATGCATGGATAATGAATCACCTCATAGTGCTTTGTCCATTCTCAGTGAGACCCTTGATAATTGGAATTCCAAATGCTAGTGTCTTCCCGGTCCCAGTCCTTGCACGAGCAATGATATCTCTACCTTCTAATGCAGGCAGCAACACAGCTCTCTAATCAACAAGAAAAAGGTAAATTTGCATTAAGTATAACCAGAGTCAAATCCAATAAATATTTTTTTTTTTAAGAGCCAAATGAACCACAGTAAATGCATACATGTGTAAATAATAATACTACTAATAATATTTCATTTACTTTTCCATAGTCCACTCGCCAAAACCAAGTTTAACCAGAATCAATTTTACAAAATCAATTCACTCGGAATCAATTATTTTCCACCGTAAAACCAAACATATGCTAAGTAAATTATCTTTCAGTCAGCCTACGTTTGAGAAAAGTTACTCGTGTTGGAACAAAATCAATTTTAATCAGAAAACTTATTTTTGCAAATTTTAGTGGAAACATGTAAAAATAATCCAAAATAAAAAATGGATACCTGAATGGGGAAAAGATTGGTAATTCCTCGCCTACGGAGGGAGGTCACAAGTTGGGAAGGAAAACCAAGTTTAGAAATGTCGACTTCGTCTGCGCTCACGGTGACAGGGAGGTTGTTGAGTTCGTCGTTAGAGTCGTCATCTAGGGCAAAACCCTTGAAGGCTTCTTCGGCGGTGAGGATGGAAGTGTTGGGAGTGGCAACTGCGGAAATAACGAAAGAAACGGCGGGGGTTTTGCGGTTGGGTCGGGGTCGGAGTCGGAGAAGGGTGTTGAAACGGGAAGTGTTGTGAAGTGAAAAGGAGGTTGGGGTTTTAGGAAGTTGCAGAGAGGAAGAAGTTCCAATGGTACTGGAAATGGAAGCCATTTCGTGTTATGGGTTTGGGTTCGAGAGGAGAGGATATGGAGCGGCAAGAAAGGAGATAAGGCCGCACAGTCTAGAAGTGGAGTAAGATGGCCTTTTAAACCTCCACGTCCTTGTGCCTCTTCTTGTGTGGCTGTGTAATAATTACGGTGTTAGTGAGTGAGGTTCTCTTAACTGTCAATAATCTAGATATTTTAGACGATAATCTCCCGTCAAAATTTCACAAATTAAATGCATAAATAAAAATGATGATAACATTTTTATAATATTTATTTGTTTCAAATTTGTCAATTTAGTTTTAAAATATCATTGAATAATATATTAATATTTAGTATATCTCGATCTAACTTTCAACTAGTAAAAAAATATAAATGTGTTCCTCGTATTAAGGGAGATAAACTTAGAAATCTTAATAGGTATATTACGTTTTATGGTGGTTAGAGTTTATTCACAGCGGCGAAAAGCTCTGTATGACAATGCTTTACGGTTTTAAAAGTCAAGTTCACATAAGGTGGGGGGATTTGAATATGGATGATGTGCTTAGATGTAAGCTTTTGAGGGGTATGATGATATGACTTATGATCTTGTTAAGCGTTGTGCTTTAGGGTGTAATGATTTGTGTTCCTGTTATCTTAGATTTTTAACAAAAACATTAATTACTGATATGAAACAAAAACCATACAATCTTGAGTTTTTGTGAAAAGTTGAAATAGTTGATTATGACCAGTTTAGTATTTAATGGATTCGACCTGTCGAAAAGGATGGGGTTAAGTTTGGTCGAATATTGTAGTGAGTAAGAGATCAAAGAGGTTCATTGAGTTTGAGACTTAATGAAATTTAGAATTCTCAAATTGTTTCTCTACGCAGTCGAATGAGGTGTAATTAGATAAGACCAAATAGTTATTCAAGGACACGTGGAGGTTTATCGAGGACAAAAGATGCATGGAGACGAAGATGTTTTGTCTAGTCGACTGTTGTAAAATAACAACGGTCATTTTAAATTAGTATCTAATTAGATGCTTGCTTATATTTTAGGGGTCCGCAATTATACATTATTCTACAAAACTCAAAGTATTTGTGCGATTGAGAAAAGAGTCAATAATGTACGTATGCGTTTCACTTTTTATAAATTAAAGTCTTTGTGTTCAAGTCATTTTTCTGGAGTTAAATTACTCAATCATTTTATCTTAAGTTTCTTTGCATTTTGATTTCTGCATAGATTTCAGTTATTATTCTCAAACTTTGTACTTCGTTTTCGATGTCAAGATTATTTAAATTTCATGATTCACACAAATATATCTTGGGATCTTTTCGAGTTTAATCCCTTAAGTATTAATTGAAACTTATTTTGTTTACTAAACTTCACAGTAAATAAATTGGCATACCCAGTGGGACCCTTTTTTTTGTGAATTTTCTTATTACTTTCGAAAATTGTTTTTGTAAATTTCTTCGCTTAAGAAGTTTCTCAAAGTGTGAGTGTGCATGAGATTGAAAAGTGATAAAATAACCAAAAAAGAAGTTAGGAAATCGACGAGGAAATACACTAGAAGAATGGTTTCTCCCATAAAATATAATGGATAACAACCATCTAATAGCACAGTGGTGAGCATGGGCACTCCGAGTTCGATTGAGCCAATCCTTTTTTAGACATTTTGCCACAATTTTAGACACCTAGTGAGTTCCAGACCGAATATGGGAATGAATTTTAGACATTTTGCCACAATTTTTACGATGCCTGTGTTTAGGCGTGAACAACCTTATGGTATGCCAACGTCAATGATGATAAACATACAAATTAACCCTTCGACATTTGCTGACAATGCTGCAAATATGTATTCACCAATACTGGCATCTGGCTCGGTCATAGGTGACCTTGGTCGAACCATACAACCCTAATTAAGGATGGGATTTGATTCCCAAGTAATGCCAATATTCACTATGAATTATATGATGGTAATGAGACAACATATGAATGAGAGTAACCATGATACGGTAAATACTTTCACCCAACAAATGGGTACCATATTTAATCCATTAATTCAAAATACGAACCAGAGTTACCAACAATTGGCAACTCAAATAAATCGAATTGTTGATTTTTTTTAGCGCGCCTCCAGCCCAAGTTCGACCTAAAGTACAACCTTAAGTAGTCGGCCGAGTTCGAAACGAAGCGGTAATCCTTGACAAAAACACAGTAAATCATGGGTAACAATTAGTGCCCCATGTGGTCGAACAAGCGAGGTCTAGAGAGGCTGAACGCCCTCCGATTTTGATAGTTAATCAAAATCAGGATGCAGACCAAGTGGTTTATCAAATTCGACAAGATAGTTTATGGGGAAAAATAATCTTGCAGCCATGGTCAAAAGGATAATTGTGTAGAATGGTGTAGATATGGGCCTACAAAGGCCAAATTATACACCTCTCTTGTCAGAGTATGTGTTACAAACCTAACTTCTAAGGGGATGGAAAGTCCCCAAGTTCACCAAGTTCTCTGGTGATACCAATTAGTCTACAGTCGCGCATATTGCTTGATATCTAACTAAGGCAGGGGACATAATGGATAATGAGAAATTAAAGATGACGTATTTTCCTAGCTCTCTTATGAAAAACACCTTTACATGGTTTATAACCCTTCCTCCCCACTCCATCAATAATTGGACACCTTTGGAAAGGTTGTTCCATGAGCATTTTCATATGGGACAATCTAAGATTAGTTTGAAGGAATTGTCGAGTGTGAAGCGAAAATTCGTTGAGTCAATCGATGATTACTTAAACCTAACCATTAGGTATTTCCAGATGGTTGCGACCCAGGTTTTCTTTGGGAAGGCCAGGACATAGGTCCAGTTAGTAGAGAGGAAATGTTCTTTTTGTTTAATATCTTTCAGTTTAGGCATGTTAATTCAACTGCTTTCTTACTTGTTAGCTTATACAAAGTAGTTAATCAGGTGGTAAAGAATATTTATGTAGGCGGAACTGTGACACATATTGTTATAACTATGTGACTAGATAGCTCAGTTGACACCTTGGTGTGCTTATGATTTGCTAGACATAGACAAATGCCGGAATAACAAGTTGATAAGGTATGAAGGACCCAGTGAGTATAAAATAGTCATCTTAAGCGATATGGTTCACTAGCTCACCCTTCCTAAACCTAAGAGGACCAGTGTACACAACTGTAGGAATTGGAGGTATGTATTAGAAGCCCAGAATGAGTCACCCTCACCACCTTAGACCCTCTGCACCTGAATATCATCCCACTTCATTGTTTGATGCCTCTTTTACTTCAGCTGATGCACCTCCTCATAGAAAGGCACCATACAGAGCTAGACACCCTTCGCACCGAGCTTACCACTCTCCATACTGACCTCAATTGTCTCCGCCGAGATTTCATCGACTACACCGATGTGATAGCCGAGCAGACAGACCATATTTACAGGAGATCTACACCATTCATAGGTTTGTTAGACGTCAAATTTCACTTATTTGATCTATCAAATGTTGGCATCTTTCACTCATTTTTGTCAAGAAAGTGTTGAAAACCACTATTGCTTTGGTTGGTTTGCAACATTATGAGAATATCTCTTAGTACCTTTGATTTGTGTGTTATTGTGCAGGAATTAGGCACAAAATAAGTGAATAGTAAGACACATAAAAATGGGCATGCTGTCAAGTTCACAAGGCGAAGGGGTAGCGAAGCTCTAGCGAAGAAAACGGTCCTAAGTTCGCTAGGCGAGTGAGGTAGCGAAGTGCTCGCTAGGTGAAACACCAGCGAGCAGGTAGCGAATGTAACAGTCCAATTTTAATTAAGTGATTATTTTAATTAATTAAATGAATTATGGGGTTTATTTAATTAATTGAGTGATTATTTATTAAATTGGTAGATGTTTGAGAGGAAAATAAATTGGAAGGAAATTGGATAGAAAGTGATATAAAGGAAATTTGGAAAAGAAATAGAAAGTTAGAAACATAAGAAGGAGAAAGAAGAGAAAGAAAGTGGAAGAGGAGAAAAAGGGAAGAAAAGAGCAAAGCTTGGATTTTCATCAAGAACAACTCTCAAGCATCGATTTGAGTAAGGTAAGGGTGTGAAATATCATTATCTTATCAATGTATGTGATTATGTATGGATTGTTTGAGTTTGTTTGGGTGTTTTTCTCCATTTTCCATTCTAGGGCATAAATGGTTTAATCGGTAGAATCGAGTTTTGAACGGTTAGAATTTAAAATAAATTGCGTAGTTTAGTCGGGTAATGTTTAGCCGTGATTATTGGATTTCGTTTGATTGAATTTGGTTGAGTTTGTGAGTTTTGACATTTTTGGATAATTGAGAGTTTGAGATTTGAGTGGAAATCGGACGTTGTAAAAATCATGTTTAATGGTTCTAATTCACTGCTATATGTTAGGTGAGTATGAGTATGTGTTTGTTTCGAAAAAAAGAATTGAATCGGTCGGATTTTCGGGCGAAAATGCAAAATCCCGTAGCCGTGTTTAGGCAAAATTCTGGTTTTTCGGAAAACTTCGAAAATTCATAACTCTTGAACCGTAAGTCGGTTTTGACCCCCGTTCGAAGCGTCGGTAAGTTAACGAGATTATCTTTCTAGAAAAAATGGCTTTGAGGCCTGTACCTGGTTCAATTATAGCAGAAAATTGAAAACATATTATTGTATTGATTTTTACCGTCGCGAATGTGTGTGATTGATGTGTTATTGTGCAGAATACTTTTGTTATATAACGTATAGCTTGTGCATGTTGTGATATGATATGCTGTGGGTAGCCGTATGGCGTGAACCCTAGATGGTGGAATCGATTATGAAATATAGTCTTTTGACAAATATATGCATATTGTTTGTATGTGAAGAATGCATGAGAACATATTGTGAATATGTGTGCATTACTTGATAAATGTGGTAATGATATTGAAGTGTAAATGCATATTGATTGTATGTGATATTGTGAATGCATGAGAACATATTGTGAATATGTGTGCATTGTTTGAAAAGGTAATGA